TTTTATAATGAATTTTCATTTTATAATTTTTGTCGTATATAACTTTATCTAATTTTCACAAGCATAATGACATCCGAAGGAATTGGTAATTGGCCTGGAGGGTTTTTTTAGAGATCATGATTCAAATGTATGCAGATCATGAAATTAGAGAGGTTAGTGAAGACGATGAAATTTTAAAATATTTAATATTTAATTATGATTGTATATATAATTTTTATTAATTCTACTGTTTGATTTAATTAGATTGATTTGCGACTATTTTTACAATATCACAATTATCAGTGTAACAATAATACACTAGTGGAGTTTATATAACATTTAATAATAATCCCTAATAAAGTGAAAATTGTCATAGTTAGGTAACAATAAAGTTTGCTATTATTGTAAACGAATAAAAAGGCAAAGTTCTACAAACTAAAAACACATACTACAATATCAACGACTATTTATTGCTCTCAAAATATAAAACTAAAACATTGGGTGATTTTACTTCTAAGAAAATCAGGTTAATGTCAACATTACTATTTACTACCTATTAACTGGCTATTTTTCTATATTGGTCCAAACAAGAACTCGTATAATAAATTTATAGCTGACCTTTTGCACATATTTTATACACATGGAAGTATGAATTACAATTATTTTTCAATAAAATTGCAAATTTAATTATACATATATAACTATTTATACAAGAGGACGTTTACAAATATTTAAAGGTAAGTAATTATATAGTAAAGTTTTCTTTATTTAAATATTAGGTTTTACATGTAGAGTTATGATGGTAAATTAAATGGAAAATGAATATATCTTTTAATGTTTGTAAATAAATTTAAAAGTATTTACTTTTCTTTTATTTTAAAATGTTATTCCTCTAATTCTTAGATACCTTGTGTACTTTTTCTAAAATTTAAATTAGTCGTTTATCACTTTTGTGATCAAGTTTTATTTGTAAGTAGGAAGTAGTGTTGGAAATGAGGATGAAATAATAATACACACAAAGAGAACATAGCATGGAAGGGAGAATGGTTTCAAAGAAGAATTCTCAGTTGTAAGATCGTATTAGATTTATCCAATTACTATCATCTTTAATTGTTAAATCAAGAAGAAGAGGTAGATATGATTGAGAGGAGTCTAAGACAACATACTTTAGGAGAATATTCAACATTCACAAGAATGTTGAATTTCAACACTAATGTGAGGCTATGTGAATGTAACTAATATAAAGATTGTTCTTATTTATCTAGTGTAGAAAAATCAATTTCATGGTTTACTTCATGAGAACCCATACATTCACTTGGCCAAATTCTTAGAGATTTGCAACACAATCAAGATTCGTCAAGTCCCCGATAAAGTTATCTGTATAAGTTTATTTCCTTTTTTATTGGCAAGCAACACTATCAACATTCTTTTCTTAAGAATAGTTTGACTGTATGAGATAAGGTTGTTACAAAATTTCCACACAAACTCTTCCATCAATAAAAGATTAATCAAGGAAAGAGGAGATTACTCTGTTTCATCATAATCTTTGCGAAATTAAATAATCTCTTGTTTCCTATTATTAACCTTTGATTGAGAGAAGAATTTGTGTAAAAATTTTGTAACAACCTCATCCCATACAGTCAAATTATTCTCAGAAAAAGAATGTAACCAAACCTTTGCGTTTTCTACCAATGAAAAAGGAAACAAACTCTTACGAATAGCTTTATCAGGATCTTGGTGAATCTTAACCGTGTTGAAAATCTCCAAAAATGTGACCAAGTGAGTGTATGGGTTCTCATGAGGCAATTCTTGAAATAAATTGTTCTGCACTAGATGTATAAAAGTAAGTGTCAACTCTATGTTGAGTGCATTCACCACTGGCCTAACAATATTGTTGCAGGTCTCAATGCATGTTGAATAATCTCCTAAGTACGTTAACTTGGATCCCCTTAACCATATCTACCTCTTCTTCTTGATCTGACGATTGAAAATGAGAGAAATATAATACAATTTCTATGTCTCTTGTTGAGGTTTCACGTGCTTTCCTAAAAAGTCTTCTTTGTATATTGTGATTTCTTAAGACTATTCATTTGATTTCATGATTATAAACTAACTTATCAATCAAAATTATGTCTTTTATACAAAACAAAGAAACACTAAAAAACAAGGTAGTTCTAGAAGAGACAAGTTAATGGTTAAAAGTTAATTTATAAATAAAATTTAAACTATAAACAAACATAGAAATAAAAGTATATAAACAAATTATGAACAATTTAAACCAAAATTAGTAAATAAAACATAATTAACTAAACAAAACATTAGTGCTCGACAAAAATAACAATTTTTTTTAATTAAGTTTAAATAAATTTTAACTCAAATGATGTCAATAATATAATTTAAAAATAATAAATTAAGTGAGTTTGTGAACCAATCCGATTGTAAGTTTGATAATTTAAAAGAAATAATTTTTTTAATATAATAATATAACTTAAAAAGCTGAATAGATTGATGAATCAACTTAGCTCATTAATATTTAACACAAATAAACTGATTCTTGACAGGTGAGGCTTAAAATTGGTCTATATTAAAATTTTAATTTTTTTTTAAACTAATTCGGTTTGAACTTGTAGTAGATTGCGTTAACTTAGTTTAAACTTGTTTTAACCGCACTAAAATAAAATCCAAAAATGATAAAATGCGGGAAGAAATTTGATAAGGTGAAGAAAGTAATGACCCTACCCCTAATTGTTGATTGCCAATTTTTCGTAACGAATTTCAATAACCCACTATGAGCCGAAATAATGTTTCGGTAAACTTTATTCATGGACCTCTGGCCCAAAATAAGAAAAATAAATAGATGTTTAGAATAAGCTTTCTGAAATATATATTTCAATGTTGACTTTGAGATTACCCATGTCTGAAATTTTCCAAAACAATATTTTTGGAAAAAGATGTTTAGAAGAAGCTTTCTGAAATAAGTTTTCTAGAACACTACACATAAAACAATTTGCCACACAGTTGAGTGATGTTTATAGTAACATAAACTTTCTTAAGGAGTTTGGTTCAACTTATCTTACACATGTAATGTAATGATAGAAAGAAAATGAGTGATAGTATGTGGAAGGTTTTGGAAATCCAGTGGTGAAATAGGGAAATCATATCCTATTCTCATACACACTAAACCTAAATAATCCAAAATATTCCAGTGAAGCTCAACACGCATTATAGATAGATGCTCACAAGAATCATGATAAGAAAAAGAAGAAGATAAGTAACATCATTGTTCAAAGATGCTGTTTTTTTTTTCTCCTTTTGTCACCAAAGATTCTCTTTCTAAAATACCAAATGTACATGCTAACCTTCCTATCTCCACAGACCGAACGCCAGCCAGATACAGACCCAAAGCTTATCATCACTATTTTTTTTATTCTCTTAAACAAAAGCATGAGAATTTTGACTACATATTGAATACATTAATACTGTTTTTTTAGTAGGGTAATGGAAGAAGATTGTTTATTTTTATAAAAAAAATTAAAATGTTTTATGATTTTTATTAATTTTAGCTTATTCAAAATTAGATAATTTTAAATTTTATTCAAAATATAAAATTTTGTTCATAAAATATACGTGTCTTCTCTTTACATTCTCTCAACTATTTTTGTTCGAGTATCATCAACTTTAATAATGTCAAGTCATTCTTAGGATAACTACTCTTTGATTAATATCGATTAAATATTTTTTTAATGATTTTTTATCAGTTATTTAAAATTGTTAGAACCATTTTTGTATTTCACGTTAGTTGATATCGGAAATACTACTTTTCTATGGATGTAAACTAAGAATTTTTTATGAATATTTGTCATTATTATTGTTATTATTGTTTTGTTGATGTAGGCAATGATAATGTTTTTTATCAACCACTAATGTTTTTTGTTAAAATTTTGAGAAAATGATTTTGATATTTTTTTAACCAATGATATTTCGAAAAAGAAATCCCCAACCAATAACATTGTAAAAACAATCTTAATCAATGTCAACGTAAATAATTATGATTCACATTGAAAAAAATTAACACAGTCAACATATATCAAGAAATAGTTAAAAAGTTGTGAATATTAGTTGAAAAATATTTAAAACGCATTTTAAACAAATAATAACATCAGAAAAATCAAGTGAAAGAAACTATTAATATTAATGTTTTTAATTATTAACAATTGTTTGATGTTTAAATAACTTTTTATATTTAGTAATAACGAAATACAAGAACATTAAAATTCAATAAATTTAAATTGTTTTATTTTAACAAAAAACTTTAAAAAATAAATCAAATTAAAATAAGATGTTCAAATTTAATATATTCAAATATCTCAAACTCTCAAATAAAAATTGTGAATTTTTATTATCTAAATAAAAGGTGATTGTGTCAAATTTGGAAATAGAAAACATAAAAAGGCAATTTAATATGTAGCTTTATCAATTATTGAAGTGCAGAGAAGATAAATATACTCACTACAAACTTAATCATAAAAATATCGAGGAAAAAAACCATGAAAAAAAAAACAATACTCCTTCTACGTTTAAATTCATATGAAAAAATAAAAATCTTAGAAAGTCTCCTATTTTTTTTCGAAATTAGTTTTATAGAATAGTTTATACATAAGTTAATTTTAATTTGTAAAGAAGTCAAGTTCTTTTATTTTCCTTCTCTAAAATCTTTATTGAGAAGCATTTTCAAATATAATCTAAAACTTACCTCAAAAGTAGGAAGGATAGACGTAAACAATCCTGTCTCCATAGGCAATTTTAAACTGTTTCTAGGATTCAAACCTACCACCAGGTTACAAAACAAAACAAATTATGATTATGTAGATAAGCTCCTTTTCAAGATATGGATATAGAATATAATTTCAAAAGGAAGCTAGGGAGATTTTGAGTGAAAAGATGCCTAGGACCATTTCTCTTGGTCTGTAATCAGTGGTTCCCTAAAATTATACACTCAAATTCCTTGCCATTTTTTTTTCAGCCTTCTAGATAAGCTACTACATAACAATTCGGCCCTACTGTTATCCAAAAAGCTCAAAGTCTACAAACATTAGTTTCCTTCCCGATATTTTTTCAAAAGAACGTGTCTTTTCACAGGTTCTTTACTTTTATCAGTCCACAGGTAACATCATCATTTTAATTTTATTAGCTCCTCACCCTTTTCCTTAGATAGGAAATACCATTGTGTTCTTAATACCATTCTACTGGGAACCATAGCTGAACTAGTTTATAGGCTTACTCTGAAACTAGTTTTGCTTACTCTGAATCAAGTTTAGGTTCCCAACAGCGAGCTTTTATTTTTGGGGTAGAGGGTGGGAAGACCTAGGTCAGAACTTCTCAAAATTCATGGAAATCTTATAACTCAATCAATCCCTTAAGTTTGGATGTGGAGGATCCAACATAACTTTAGCAACCATCAAATACTATACTGCATAATCACCTCTATTCCATATTATGAAGTTATTAAGAATTATACATCCTTCGGGGGTTGAAAGCATAGAATTACATGGTTTATTTTTTCATAGGCTCTATTCATACTAATTTCCATGGATTTAAAAGTAAAGCAGAATTAAAAAAGGAACGGAATGATAATATTATTCTACATGTACAAACAGCTGGTTTTTCTGTTTGCTCCAGAAATACTTTTTGGTGATTCCAAAATGATAATAGCGGAGTAAAACCAGAAATCCTACTAAACATTTAACCAAAGAGATATATCTCAAAGTCAAATCACACTTTATTAGTGAAACCGAGGAAAACACACTTACGCACAAAACAGAACAAAGAAAATGGTGACTTCACTCCTCTCTAATTAGACGCTGCTTAGTCTAGCTCTTTCTTTTGGGTCAGAGGCCGGCGAGATGTTCCTAACTACTCTCCGCACTACGCCGGCTTCTTCAATGGCCAATTTCTAGCTTCCCAAATCCTATGAGAAGCATGGATGTAAATTAGACCTATTATAATAATTTTATGGAGAAGGATGATATATCGGTTCTTAAACATTTTCTGGATGTAACTTAAGTCAAAGGCCCAGATAACAAACATAGGAGTGTTACATGTTCACATTTAAACAATTATTTAGATATAAATTTGAGGTCAATTCTTTCGGTGACATATAAGTACTTTTGCATTTATTCAGATGACTTATCAGAAAGAGATGCTTAGGCAGAGGTTTCTACGTCACAAATTGTAATGTTATTAATATATAAACGCAGACGTGAAGAGGGTCCGTAACCATGAATAAAAAAAGATCCTCGCCTGACAAAAACATTTTTTACAACTCATATACAATTCAAGGAATATCATATTATGACCACGTGTGAAAGACCAACTAAAATTGGAAGTTCTCCACGTATTACAGCAGCTTATATCCAGATTCTCAGAGGCAAAACCTAAATCATACTTCTAGTGCAAGAAATGTTGTTTAGTCTCCGTATTCAACTTCAGATTTGAAGTTTGAAGATGTAAACTTAAAAGGAAACACACCAAGCTTAAGAAAATTAAGAAAAATTATAAACATCTCTAATATTTTCTTCCATACATGAATACAACAGCTAATCTGTCATATTAATATTTTCATATGCAATTAAACCAAAAACATCCTAAATCACAGGACCAAATTGATTTCTATCATTTTTTCTATAAATCCATAAAAAATTTCTATAGACTCTTTAATATCTTATGATAAGACTTAAAATCTTATGTGCTGAAATTCAAGAGATGGAAGAATAGGCTCAGTATCTTACATGTAAAATTTCTAGTCATAAGAGCTGAAAACTCATGGGCGTCGACCAATGCTAGAAAGGAAAAAATGTTCATGGATCGTATGATCCTATAATGAGCTGTTCACATCAATCAATTTTCCTTTGCTAATTGTATTTTTTGTAATGAAAAAATAAAGTGAGCCATAAATTGGCAAAGGAGATCGCTTTCATTATCATAGGAAAGAAATCTAAAACTAGCTCCATCGTAAGATAGCAAATAACTTCAAGTAAATGGGCATGCAAATCATGGATCGGAAGGGTGACAGAAACCCAGATCTTAGAATTTGATGATTAAGGCATTTTGACTAAAAATCAACCAATAGAATACCTACACAAAAAGTTATGCTATTCTGAATCCAATACAATATGATAAACAATCAAATTGTATTAACTTAAAGGAAACGTGCTCAAGTACTCATTCACATCAGCTAAGTTGATTTGATTAGTACAAAAAAAAGGCTGAATCCCTATATCTATAGGAAATTATGCTAATCAGTTCTAGTGGCCATGCAAACCCTTCATCTCACAAGACACTAAAGTTTCTTTTCCACACTACCCACCTAGATCAGTACAAGAGAGAATTCAATCCCATCACTTTCCAGCAGAAACCCACAGGAAATGCAATGGCCTTATAGTCGAGGAAAAACAAAGAGCCAAACCAAACATGCTTGGAATGGATAAGTTCTTCCTAAATATTTATGAAAGAAAAAAAAAAGAAAATAAACTTCTCTCACAAGGTAAAAATAACTTAAACTTAAAAGCAGCTTTTGTGAAAACCTAAGCGATTTTAGCTTCTCCGAAAAGCTAATTTTAACTCACGCATACTTAACTTGGCAAAAATTAAACTTTAACTTACTTATTTCACTTTTTTTCTTCTACAAAAGCTTACTTGAAAAACTTTATCTAAACATGGCCAAAAGCATTTGTTAGTCTACCACCCTTCACTGAATTGAAGCATTCACTTATCATATATTTGTGTTTACAAGTAGTTCAGTAGATTGACTAGGGTCATTCTGTGTTTCAACTTTCAACTCATCACAAGATCATTACCAAACATTACACATGTTTACGATCGATACAACAAAAGATAAGAGTACAAATACAAACGGAGAATTTACACAAATAGCAAGACTCCGGAAACATAAGATTCCACAAATCAGTTAAAATTTGCATTGAGAAACTAATTGTACAATACAAAACATTTCATAATCGTTCTACTCGTTGATGATAAAAAATAAACATAACAATATCAATTAACACAGCATTATCATTAATTACCATTTTCCAACCACAAACCCTAAATTCTCAGGGCACAGCATGGAGCCTCCCTTCAAACACAAACCCGCGGTAGAGTCCGTCGCCATTCCCGGGAAGGTTATCGATCCACCGCCACTGCTCCCCTTCGGCGGCACAGCGGTCCCAGAGCGCCAGCTTCCCGATCCTCTTGGCGGAGAAGCAAACCCTGTCGCCGCCTCCGAAGACTTTGAACTTTGTCGATTCACGGAAGGCGCGGAACATCTCAAGCGGCATGCGCGCTGCCTCGTCCCATTCGAGCTTGTCGAGGTCGAGACGGAGGACAAGGATGGTGGAGCAGGGCGCGTTGAGGGCGAACGAGGACTTGAGGCCGCCGACCATGAGGATCCGGTTGCCGTGGCCCCGAACAAGGCGGGGGCGCTTGAGGACGTCGAATACGTCCCCCCACTCGTGGCGCTCTGAGGCCCGACCACGAAGGCGAAGGTGTTGCGGCGATGGTTGCAGGATAAAAGTTTCCACTGGCTCCGCCAGGGGAACCGACGTCGCAGAGAGCGACAAGCGGAGTGGTTGATGAGTAGAGGGGAGCGGGTTTGGAAGGGAGGTTTGAGGAGAATTTGAGCCACTTCGGCGTGCGGTGGCAGTAGAGGGCCGCGAGTTCGGTTAGGACCATGACGCGGGTGGTCGGCGTCGGACGAGAACGGCGCCATGGCGGGACCAGGCGGAGCCGAGATGGGGGAGGACGCGGAAGGTGCGCGTGAGAGGGTTACATGCGATGAGGGATTTGGTTGCGGTGGTGTCTGGCTGGGAAGGGTTGGCGTTGGGCTTGGGCTTGGGCTGGGCCCAGAGGTAGAGGAGACCGTGAAGGAAGCAACGGGGAGAGGTTGAATGGAAGGGGAGAAAATCGAGGGGAAATGGAGCCATGTGTTATGGTCGGGATCGAAGATGGGAAGAGAGGTGGTGAGAATGTGAGGCGTGAGGAGTGGTGGCGGGTGGCGGCGGCGAGAGATGGGTGGAGGGGAGGGTGGGAGATGGAGAGGAGGGGAGAAGAGGGGCGGGAGAGGTGAGGAAAAACTTAGAGAGGGAGCGGCAGAGGATGATTTGGCGGAGGGGGAGGAGGAGAATCTGGTGGAGCGTGTCGTGCGGGAGACGGTAGATCGGAGGCTCCTCCTCCATCACACCACGGCGGTAGGGTAGTTGGGTGGTGGTTGGGCGCAGTGGGTGCGGCGGTTGGGTTGGTTCCAGTCGAATAGGATACAATTTGTTTTGTTTGCTTTAAGAAGGTTAGTGAACACTGAGAAACTTGCTTCAGTTTCTTCTTTGGGTAATATTTGATTTCCCACACCCTAAAGTCAATTTCTGTTGCCGCTTCTCATTCTGATTTCTGGATTGAATCCTTTATTTTCAAAAAAAATATATTAATCAATCCTAATATATGTTTTTATCTCTCAAAAAATATTTTATGTTTATCTAGAATATTTTTATAAATTGTTATTTTAAGTCATTTCATTTTAGTATTTTAGATTTATGTTATTTGAACTGTTTTAGTATAAAAAATAAATTAAACTAACGGGAAGGTTAAAATTGTTATTAAGAATCAAAATAAAATCTTAGAGTAAAAATATATTTAATTTTTATAACAATTATTATTTTTAAAATAATTATTGTACTATATAAGATTTGAATTAGAAATAATGTTTTACTCTCTTTTTATAGCATACTGTGAATAGAAGTTTTATATTATTTATTTTTAGGTTAAAATATCCTATTAAAATAAGTAAGGTAATGTATTGTATAATACAATAGAATACCACTTAAGTAAGGTGTTCTCGTTTGGGAGATATAATCCACAAAAATAAAGATTTCATTTGGCTTTTTCCTCGAGTAATGAGTTATTCCTTAAGCAATGAAACTCAACTTGAGTGATATATTGCCGTAAAATAGAGAATGCATTTAAGCATCTCTTTACTTAAACATGAAGTTGTTACTTAAACATGGGACTTATCACTTGAATAATACTTTGTCACTAGATTAAGGAATTTCAAATTTGAAAGTCTTATATCAACTTCTGTCTACTCTAATGAGATCACTTTATTTGAGCAAGATATGTAGATGAGAACAAATCTCAACATACCCAAAAATAACTATCAAACTTATTGCACCTCATTGATGAAGGTTGAGAAACAGAGAAAGAATCAAACGTGAAAACAAGAGAAAGAAGTGTGATATTATTCTTGAAAGAATGGAAAAAGTATTTGATTGTGCTATAGTGATACAAACAACAGTTATAGAAAACATAGACTAAAAGAAAGAAAAAACCGAGACAATAAAATAAACATGTAGGTGTCATACACTTAAACCAATTAGTTGGCACTCGAGCGATGACATTAGAATGCATAATTTATCATCACCTTAAGCTAGGAATAGACATACATCATTCCCACATTGGTACAGAGGTTGTTGAAGACGATAGGACAAAAATGCTTGGTTAGAATATCACTTGCTTGAAGGGCGGAAGAAACCGAAAGCAGTACTTTGTGTGATTTTATCATGAATGATGATGTGGCAATCAATCTCCAGATACTTGGATCGTTCATGGAACATCTGGTTGGAAACAGTGTGGATCACAAATTAATTATCACAATAGATAACAGCAGGGGTGGTAAAAGGAATGCAAAGATCTTAAAGGAGATATGCAATCTAATGGATCTCACATGTAGTGGAAGCAAAAAGCTCGATACTCAGTTCCATCAGAATTTCTGAACACTATTTTTTTTCTTTCCATGAAATAAGAGAATCGCCAAAGTAGATGAAGAAGTTTGTGGCAGGTTTTCTTGTGTCACTACATGAATCCCAATCAAAATCACAATATATGAGTTTTTGTGTGAACTTTGAAGAAGAGACCATTGTCGAGGTGATCTTTGAGGTAGCAAAGAATTTAGTGAATGACTTATTGATGACAAATTGTGGGACAAAATATGAATTGGCTGAGATGATTGGTATAAAATGTGATATTTGGTCTAATGTTGGTGAGATAGATAAGTCGGCCAATGCGATAGATGGAAAGAAAGGCATATTCATCATTAAGAGGTGTGTTGGATTGGAGGGAGTTGGTGCGAGAAGAGTGGGCATAAGTGTAGAATTTGTCATGTTTATTTCATGGAGAAGGTCAAGGATGTATTTGTCTTGGCTAAGATGTATTTCAACAAAACTTTGGCCAATTTCAAGGTCAAGAAATTAGGTAAGGTCTCTAAGATTTTTTATATGGAATTGCTTGTCAAGTAGCATGGTGAAGTTATTGATTTCAACTTCATTAGTGTCCGTCAAGGCAATGTCATCAACATAAACCAAAAGGACAATGATATTAGAATTTTCATGTTTGAGAAAGAGAGAATGATCAATTAAGGAACAAATATAGTTGTGACTAATAAGGAAGGATAAAACTTTGCATACCATTGTGTTCCAGCTTTTTTAAGGCCATATAAAAAGAACTAGAGCTTGAAAACTTTGTTGGGACTAGAAAGGGATAAACCAGGTGGAGGTTACAAAACACTTCTTCATGGAGATCACTGTGAAGGAAGGCGTTGTTAACATTGAGTTGTTTGAAGCAACAATAATAAGAAGCAAACACATGGTAGTAAGCTTTGCAGTAAGAGCAAATGTGTTCATATAATCCAAGCCTTCTAGTTAAGTGTAACCTTTGGCAACTAGACGAGCCTTATATCAATCAACAGTGCCATATGACTTGTGTTTGATTTTGTATATCCAACTACAATCTATAACTGTCTTGCTAGGAAGAAGATCTGTGAACATCTAGGCATGGTTGGTATTTAAGGCTTGTAACTTGTCATCCATAACTTGTATCCATTGGAGGGGATTTAGAGGCCTTAAAGTATGTGTGTGGCTTAGTAAAAGCATAAAGAGACAAGATAATGTGTTTAAAATTTGAAGACAAATTATCATATGAAATAAAGTTGTGTAAAAGGTATTTTACTATAATGTTGGTGTGAAAATCTTGAAGATATATGGGAGCTTGTTGAGTATGAGTCAATCTTTTACAAGGAACTTCAATAGTCTCAGCAAGTGACGTGGTGATGTTTGGTTCAACAATACCAGTGTTCTCAGTAAGGTCAATAACATCACAAATTTCAACATTAGTATTAGTATCCTTAGTTTCAATAACATCATAATCAAAATTAACAATGAGGTCATGATGAGTAGGAACAACAATGTTATTATGATTAATTGGTGTGTGAAAAAAGTTATTATAGACAATAGTGTAATTACTAGGTATAATTACAGGAAATCTATCACAATCATGACTTTTAGCATCATTGAGAGAAATGTTCTTCATAAAATTTAACATTACAAGAGACTTCAAATCTATGATTATGTAAATATAAATATAAGTACCCTTTTGTGAGAGCCTTGAATGTGTGAAAGACTAATGTAATTTCCTTTTATGGGATGCAAGAGTGTTATAGTAACATAAACATCCAAAGACAAAGGTATGATAAATCACATATATTTTCATGAGTTTTTCATAAGGAGTGTCATTATTCAAAATAGGCGTGGGTATGCAATTAATAAGGAAGATTGCATGTTGTGCAGCAAAACCCCAAAATATAAAGGGAAGATTTGATTGAAACAAGAGAGAGTGAACAACATTTAAAAGGTACTGGTGTTTTCTTTTAACTACTCCATTTTTGTCAAGAGTCTCAACACATGTAGTTTGATGAACAATTTCTTTAAGAGAATAAAACTCATGCATATTAAATTCCACTCCATTATCAGTCCTAATAACTTTGATTTTAGTATTAAATTGGTTTTCAGCATAGGAAATGAAATCAACAATTAATTTTCGAACAACATATTTATTTGTTAGAGATAATAATCATGTATAGCATGAAAAAGGATCAACAATGGTAAGAAAGCATTTATAACCATGCATAGAAAGAATATTGTAGGGACTCAATATATCTATATGTCAAACATAAAGATTTTAAAACTTAAAGATACACTAGCAAGAAAAGGAAATTTTAGAACTTGATAAATTGTGTCTTTAAATGTCACGCTCAAGTGCCAGCTCACTAGTTTAAGTGCATGACACCTGCCATATGTTTATTTTATTATTTCTTTGTCTTTATGCTTTTGTCTTTCCCTTTTGACTTAATCTTTTTGTTTTTCTAGATTGTTTTGTCTTCATTGTAACACAATCAGATACTTTGTTTATTCTTTCAATAATAATATCGCGCTTCTTTTTCTTATTTACTGTTATTCCTACGGGCTGTTCTCTCAATCTTAGAATCAAACAACAAGTTTTCAGCTTTTGTTCTACTTTTCATGCAAAACAAACAAAGCTTGATGGAGCAACCCAAGGAATTAACTAAAAACAAAAATATAATATATGTACAAAATTTAAAAGACAGTGGATATATACAGATACTTAAACAAAATTGAAATTGGTAAACAATAAATCAATTGGATTATTAGTAACTATCAAATTCTCCGACAATGGCGCCAAAAAACTTGATAACCTTTTTGGCAAGTGTACCAAATTGTTCTAAGTAATAAAGAGTAAGTTCAAAATACCGTTCTCCCAAGGGAATTGAGTTATGTTATCTAATGAAAATTATTTACCAAAATCACTTTAGTAATAATGAAAATTTGATTCATGTAAATTAACGTAATGAAATTAACAAAACATTAAAATTTGAAATTGAAAATTTAAAGCAAGCTTCGATGGAATTGAGTTCATGACTAACATTACAATAACATTATGAATAACATATTCTGATTCAAACATTAACATCATTGTATCTTGGTTTAATTCCTTAAAACAAGTTCTAAAGATATATGTTCAATTATTCCTTAAGTAATCAAACATATCATTTGCATTTATAAATGATCATAAGAATTGAAACTATTCCTAGCATCGTTCCTTTTGGTTGTTTTTCTTACGTTCATATTGAAATTTATTTCCCACTACAATTGAACATATAAAATACATCATACTTTCGTATAATGACAAGTAAATGAAGAAAAGCATATGAACACAGATATATATTAAACAGGAAAATTACATCAAATGTCAGTCATTACATTCAATTCCAACGAAAGAAAGATTTAGCTACTCCTAGTCATATAGAACGTACACAGTTTAACAATTCCTTGCATAAAATGTTGTTTGGATGCCTTGAAGTAGTGTCCTAAAGTCTGCAATCTTTTTCGGTTCTTTCTCTTTGTCAAAAGTTACCAACTTGATGTTTATTTCCCACTTTAAAAGCCAATTCAATTTAACTAATTCGCTCAGTGCACAATTATGAATGTGTTGAGCAAATAATGAACTACAATCCCTTAACT